TACAACAACTACAAATAAATTAAACGATAATGAAATTTATATTGATATTATAAATAACTGCAAAATAAAATCTTTACACCTTTAAAAAATATATCCCTGTAATTAATTATTAAGTCATCATAAGCAGTTAGTTATTAGTTATTTAAGTCCAATATTTGAGAATAAGCCTTGCACATTTAGGAGCCAAATACTCAACCCAGAATGTCTCAAATAAAAGCTTTTTAAAAACCAATAACGCGCCATCTTGCTCCTAGAAAACGCCTAATAGTGCTGGGAGCTATGAAAAGGGCTTTTCAAATCCTTTCACAATAGTGTGAGATGACCTGTCTCAACGGAAGAAAATTATTTTTCCCTTCTTTTGTCCTCAAAAATACGTCGTCTAGGAAAATAATATTCGCTCCCATTGTAGGCTTTCTGTAAAGTATTTAAGTCTTTTGTTATTGAGGAAAATGTTCGCCATGCTATGTTTTTTTTGGTCTGCTTTCGCTGCGCAAAAATATTTCATTGGATACGTGACGATTTTCACTTTCATTTAAAGATGATTACGATTAATGTTTTTGTAGTTACACGTTTCACTAATAACTGCGAAAGTTACGTATTGGTTCCCAGATGACGTCGTTTTATTTTTAATCTTTGCATTAATAAAACTTTTCATGAGATAGGTATCAAAGAACATCAATGTATGCATACCTACAAAGTAACCAGTGATTCAATTTATTAATTTTAAAATAGCCAATTCATTGTACATACTTATTCAACTCACTGGGTGGTGTAACTGTATTTTGTAAATCCAATATGTCAATAGTATTTTCTTCTACAATAATAATAATTAATCTCAAGATCTTTATCGATTACGACCCAAAAACCCAATTAACTTCGTTGTCAACGAAATTAATTATTTAAGTCGAGTTGCAAAAAGTTTTAATACAAAATGTCTTTACGTAATCATTGTTTTATGGAATCAATAAAGTGAATGAGCGTTCCTCTGTAAAGACCGCAACACACTTACGTTTCATCACAATACACTCGTAGTCTTGTCGTATCGCATGTGCAGCCAAATGCTTGCAGACGATTGAGCCAAAAACCACTCTGAACAATCGGCTTCTGCCGGGTAACGGGCTACGGCGGCGCCACGGCACGTAAATATATTTCGACTGTAACAGTGACGTAACTGAGCTGATGATGTGAGCCGTCGCGCACGAGCGACTGAATTTTATGGCATCAACACAGGCAATAACTTTAGATACACATTACAGGTTGTGGAGTATTTTCAGTTGCATCATTATTTTATAGCGTAGTAGGAAATATGGTTGGTGGTTTCATTGTTATTTTACTGGTATCCTGAGGTTAAAAGGCATTGCGCATCACGCGTTTACAATGTAAGTTTTCACTCTTATTAAGTTGCAATGTACAATTTTAAAACCAAAATATTTGATTAAAATAAGGTCCTAATATTATTTTTCGGTAAGAAGTTTATTGATGTCATTTGCGTAGTATTCATGTCGTTATAATTACTTCTTTTCGATATTTTATTAAACCAGACAAGTGTCAAATGCTCTGCGCTTCGATAGTTGAAAAGTAGCTAAGCTAGCTTCTAAATCGTGCCCCTTTAACGAGATGACATGGGCATAATCACCATACTAAATGATTAGCTAAAACATCAGTAACATCAGTAATTCCAGCATTGATCTAATTATTTCGCTTTCACTGTTCATTGAAGCCCAATCACCTTAGTTACAATGCTCCTAATCAAATTTGACCGTGGACTTGCATCGGATGGATGACCACTGCGTAAAAAAACGAGAGTTTTTAAATTAAAGACTTTTTGCTATCAATCAGAACGAGCTCATGGATTAAGTCTGCAATGCGACTAATTAATAGAAATCGGTTGTTTCGGTTGGTGATTAAGGGTCCGATTTCGAATTTCACATTAATTAACTCTACGACCAAATTCACTAGTCCAAACCATCAATTACATTCAGACTTAACTATAAATGAACCAGGAAAAGCAACACCGTACCACAAAAGGTCAAAGGATATTATTAGCAAACTTAATACTATCTATATGTATCAATGACATAACTATGCACGGCGACCATCGCTTTCACTGATGATCGTCGCTCCATCATTGCAGCTGTCAGTTGTGAAGCGCAACTCAGACGACCATCAGTCACACGGCAGCAGTTGCGAAATGACGCGTGCAACCATCTATTTGAAGTGGTAATCAATATGCGCCAATCATAGTAAATTGTTCTTCCATCAATGTTACTAAATTGGCTAGTTTTTGTGGTAACGTTTGAAGAAGCTGGTGAGTTGAGATTGGTAGTATGAATCATGGTTGTGTTTTTTCGTGGTGGGTTTCTAAGGGCAGGTAGCAGTTGCTTGATGGCACATCTGTCATCATAATAAAGGAGTAGCTGGAAGTTTAGTCGTTTTTGATTTTATGTTTGACCAAAGATAGCAACAATTCAGTTGATAATTCAATTATATTTTAGACTAAAAATTATGAAAAGAATAGAAAAATAAAGTATTGCCGTTCCTAAAATTCTATAAAACTCACAATACAAAATACCAACAACATTTCCAGCATACAGATACAAACTTACAAACGTTAGGAACGATAAAAATTAACCTGTAATGTCGCAATTACCCGTCATTATAACACAAAACTGGATCTAGAACACCGCACCGTAATTGGAAAAGTTCACAAACGCAGTCATTAACCGTGGCAGTACATGTGGTCGAGGAAGGCAGAGAAACGGTATCCAACAGCCCGACTTAGTTTTTTTTTTTCAATTTGTTAAGGGAGATTTAGTACAGGCAACAAACACCGAACCACTAGTGAAAGTCGTGGTAGACGTAATTGGCCTAAATTACCGTCTTCAAGGGACCCTTCGAGTGATTGCAGGCCCAACAGACTGTTTTTTATCGAAACGAGCTACTTAAATGGTCTACGGAGTCGTTTTGATTTCCTTAAAGCTTGAGGCGTGAGTAACAACATTAGCTGAGTATAAACACAAATAAAAAGCAACGATGAAATTATAGCTCTATAGTTTTGAGAGTGTATGAGTGAAGAAAGAGCTACTGTTTCGATGAAGGTAGTAAGTAACCATGTTATTGAAAATCTAACGAAGCATGTAGTAGGTTGACGATGGAGATGTAAGGTAATATAGAAAGGGAAAGTACTTAAACCTACCGCTATCGTACAGAGTAATATTGTTTTCCTCTTATGTAATAAAATAATAAGCGGATTACCGAGCACTCAGACAAAAGGCTTTATTATTACGACGGTTTCTAGAACAGTGTCTGCAAATCGTACAATAGCACAGTAAAAAGCTCGAAAGGACCTTTTGTATTTTTCACAGTTCATATTATTTCTCTGAAACTGCTTCTAAAGAAGAAACTGCTTACTCTCTTAACTACATATGTTTAATTATTATGATTTAAATAATGAAATACGCAAATGGAATAAGAATTAATGTACGAGCACGACTCAAACATCCATGTCACTTGAAATTATTTTGTTCCACGTTTAGCATAGAAATCAAGTGAATAATGAGAAACGTACCACGCAACCTTGAATGTTCATGCAAATTACGACCAAAGAATAAATTACAAAAAGATTCCTACAAGCTATAAACGAAATACAACATAATACTTTAGAGGAAAGGAAACATTTTATCTTTATATTACGTTATAAATATTCACGTAATAGGTATGTTTGTACATGTATCACAACTTAATCCCACGCAGAAGAAAGCTAAGGAATTTCTTGAATAATTTAATCGAAGTTTATTAGACTTAACAGCAACACTATACTAAGTAAAAACACAGATAAAACAGAAAATAAAAGTGCTTATTCTGAAAACATGCAACGAACACTAAATAGAAAGGGCAGCCGATATTTTTCCAAGCAAATGCTTGGATTAATTGACAGGGCCACAGTAAATACTGGTCATAAATACCCGTTGAAGGGAGAATCGCTAAATAGCGTAGTTGATAGCATCGGCGGTGACGAGGAATCATGGCACGATAAACTTAACCCCCAATAAAAGGAGGAAGTCCTGACCAGATCATTGGACGCCTTATCAAGTGACTTAGGCCGCCCCAAATTGAGTGAGCGAGAATTATGGACGAACTTTCTACTAGCAAGAAATAAAAGATAATGAAGATCCCGATTAGATAAATACGGTAAACATTTGGATAAATCCGTATAATACGTATAAACGTTTATGTTAAAGATATGTAGCAATGCACGATGTTAATACTAGCGTTAGTTTTGTTATACGTAGTTATCATGCGATTGTTTAAAGAGATTTGGTATATGAACACCATGACATATATTATATCGAATTAAGGATATAGACTTCCAAAATATTAAAATACACACAAAACCAAACTCAAACAAAAAATGTTTAAACAAAGTAAGAAATATGAATCAAGTTTCGGTCATCCCTTTGTGCAAACGTAACCTAATCTTTATTAGATTCTCAAACCAATGTTTGTTAAACGTTTTGAGCTAATAAAAGTAATATTAAGGGAACGAGAAGCTACGTATGGGAGGAAATGAAAGCGACGAGAGAATGAAATTGGAAAACTTGTTACAGAATTACTCGAGATGAAAAAGGAGAAAATAAAGCTCTAGTAAAAGTTAGTGAAACGATACGGTTGAATGTTTTTATTTACCTGGGGGATCGCGTTTGATCTGCTAGTAATCATGCTGCGGACGTACTTTTTATGTTTGTTAATATTCGACCGAAAGTTTACCTGTATTTTCAGATTGTTTTTATGCATGCTAAATGCAGGATGAGCATGTATTTAATTTAATCAATTAGGATAATAGATTCTGATGGACATTTTGAGTTTATAAAAAAAGGAATCATGGAATTAACTTTAAATTTCACTAATCAGCTATTGTAAGAAATTGTATAGAAGAATAAAAGACAAATCTTTACCACCGTCATGTTTGACGTAACGCACGTCCCAACAAAACAACTCACCTTTTATTCCAGTTTCCGATCTCAGCGTAACGTCGGCCGTTCGAGCTTCCGCACCTCCTCACTTCATTTCCTTTAAACGTCTGCACAGAGTTCCCGTTAGGTGTTAATATTCCATTCGTTGTATTATTGTTCCGCTCTCTGTTTCTCGGGAATGTTCCAGTTCCTGAGCGAAAAGTTGCCAACTGCGGAGCTTGTTCCACGTCGGGCGTGAACTGCTGGAGCGGAAGAGTCACGTTTCCACTCCAACTCTTGCGATTGACGGCGAAAGTTTTGAACGTTCCATTACCGTTCGACGCTGGTGCCACCCCACAGAAACTACTGCGGTTATGACTGTTTTTTATAAAAGCACCGTTCTGCAGCACCACTTGAGGTTTGATCGGCACCAGTGGTGACGCCTGGTCAATGGACATCGTACTTTAATAAATGTAGATGCAACCTACGTTTCATCTATCTACATTTTTTTCTGCAAAGGAAAGAATTGTCTACATTAGGGGTGTACAATAAAGCGTTAGTTGAGACACCACCGACAGAGTTGCGTGTATGCGAACTGAATTTAGGGCAGCCATTGCATGGCAATCAATAATCGAACCATTGAGGCTTTGTCAACAAGCTGGTTGCTAAGTGACATGCCAGCTAAGATATAATGAAGAGGGCATCGAACAATAGAGTTCAATTTAGGTTAATGGGCATTTGAGTTCCGCAATGTTCTTCACTAAACTGATATGCTGAAGTAGATACACTAGTGCACAATTTGTTACGAAATATAAATGAGCAGACGCTTCGCTTCGCTTTAAATTATTTAGTTGTAGTTAAAACGACATTTTAAAATCCATCATCGTAACAATAAAGTAGAAATTCGAATGAAGGACATTATTTGGTAATAACTGCCGGACATAGCTATTACGCATTGTTGCAGACTAACGACAAAAACGCTGCTGAATTATTTTTTGGCCTCCGTTTCCCCAAACTGTATACAATTTTGCTAACCCACACCTAGTTTAGCATTCGATGAATCACTGACAGCTACTGAATAGAACTGAATTAATATTTCGATGTCATTAAAAATATCACCACATTTATGCTTTGTATTTTTTATATCTTCGCTTCTATTTTTCTATAGAGACAATTCTATTATTATGTACGCTCGTCTGCATAGTAACAATTGGCCTTGTACTTACGTCATTATATGCAGTGGCTAGGCGCGTCCCGTTTTCCATTGTACTCAATGTACTTCATTTATTCACATTAAAAGTGGAAACTCTCCATTATTTTTACCACCTTGACCCACTCGAACGACTATTATGGTACTTTTAACACTACCATTCTATGATAATTGCAATACACTGGTGTATAGTTTTGCAGTAGACGTAAGGTGTGGTGTTTAACCTGTTTTATTATTCACTTTCAACGTCATGCTATATTGAAATTATTTTATTTTATTTTATGTTTACAGTTATACAAAATTCATATCTATTTTTGGAATCGAATTCTTTAATCCAAGAGAGTGGTGTAACTCAAAAATAACTTAAGTACTTTAAATGAATATTATCAAAACATAAAAAATCAACACCAACATTTACACGACATCTGTAATTTATCTGACACCTGGTGCGTATCAAGAGTTTACTGTAAAAAGGCTTACATTCATAAAAGGACATGAGTTTACGTTGGAAATAAATGTCACGTCAATCGTCGGGTACATTTGACCCAGTAAGGTGCGGACACTGGTAATTTGCGACGGTCGTCCATCACCATCTCCGTACGGGTTATATAACCATTGCATAAGTCCGGTGACTCGACTACTCGACTAGCCACCTCGGATTCGCCTCCGCTTCAACCTAATTGATCAGAGTGTAGCGTTATCGTATGACCATCTATAAAGTCTGAGCACTAAATTACAGTGATAGCCTGCAATTCAGATCTACTTTCATGCAACTCCTTTTAAATATATAGCTGCCTGTTTAATTTATGTAATGGAAATCGAGAACTCTATTTACGATGCTTGACTTTTAAGACGTTCTAATAAGTCGTTATTAATTTAAAATGCCGGAACTTTTTAAGAATTTGATATCAGATGTTGTTCCAATCTTGTTTTTAGAAAAGGGCCAGGTCACTTTACGCAAGTCTTGGAACTGGGAAAGCTTTCATAACGAGTGCGTAGTGTAAACAAAAAAGCAATTAAAAATAGTAAGCAACACCGATTTTATCGTCCATCGCTTCCATCTTGTGCAATGTAAACATTAGCAGTATCCATTTCTTGTATAGACAACAGCACATCAAGGTAGCTCAAACTGTCAATATTATTTATAAGATTTTCGACTTTATAGCATTACGATAAAGTTGAAAGCTTTCGAATAGGTTGATGTGCACCTGTTCCGTCATATTGTGTCGGTCATGAATGATTGAATAGAACGAGAAGTTTTCTAATACTTGCCAGTTTTTTTTTGTTTTTCTTTGTAAGCATGCAAACGTTATTCAACTATTATTATTATGAGGTTGTTATTCTGTGAGTTCTGTAACAGTTATTACGGTATGTTTATCGTGAGTTAACATGAAGTTAGATTGAATGGTTACATCACTAGAAGAATTGTGTTATCTCTTGTAGCTGGTACCTTTTTACCTGATACTAATTTAACACCACCTATTTTATGTTTACGGGCCGATTTTCCAACGCCATATAAATTTAAAAAAAGAATAACTTTAAATTTCCATACTAAAGACTGGCCAATGTCAATATTATTCTACAGTCAATTTTTTAAACAAGCACTAAAGAAAACAAAAGGTTTGTTTGTGTCAGTGACAGTAAATATCGGTAATCGTCTACTCATTTGTAAATATTGTGTAACTATTTTTCCTTACTAGTAAAGTTTACAAAATAAGAGACAAACCAAAACAGTTTGTTATTTTTCCAACGATTATTATAAACAAAACATTCTACTATTAGACAATGCCATTGTGTAGTTTGCTATTGTAAATAACGAGAGTCATACACTAATAAAAATAAAATTTTAGTCATGTAGGCAGGTATGTATGTCCTATTTAAATGTATGTTTTAGTATCTGTATTTATTTCTTCTTTTCTTTTTAATTTTGTATCTGTGTGTGTTGCCTACTATCGAATAAATGCTTTTTCTTTCTTTCTTGTATATAATTATTATTTAATTATTAGCTATTTCTGCGGTTTTACTCGCTCTGCTCGGCGATTATTGATCGTAGTGTGATGTTTAATAGCCTATAGTCTTCCTTAATAAATTCACTATCCAATACAAAAATATTTTTTAAAATTGGACCTGTATTTCCTGAGATTGGCGCGTTCAAAGAACCAAAAAAAGTATAGTTAGATAAATGATCACATTTTGGCAGAATGTCCCTTCCACAGATAGTTAAATTATCATATTTCTGTCAATCTCGTTCACCGATAGCTACTAGGCTTCAATTCTTGAGTAAATACATGTTTGTCCGTGGCAAGACTCGATTATTTAAGTTTAATTTGACATTAGCAGAGTTTGAATACTTCCGGAAAAAAATGATTTTTTTTGTCTTATAATTTGAAATTGTAAAATATAGAGTAGCAAAGAGAACATAATTATTATAATAGGAACATAAATAACAATGTTCTTAATTACGAAACATCATCAATTCAGTTCATTCAGCGCATTAGTCATTTGAAATTGTTCTTGTAACATTTTTTCATGCAGTTGAGATGAGTAATGTATACTTTTTAGTATTTAGTTCCCATAGCATTTGTTAACCAACGTCTAAACGAATGAGGTACTGTTTTCCTTAACACTTACGTAATTATTTTTAACTTCTGAATATTTTTGGTAAGAGGGACTTTGTTGGAGTATTTTCGATTCTCTGAATACTTAATGAAGGTAAACACAGACGTTTAATGAATTTGCAATCGCAATATATCACTCTGTCAATAAGTAATTAATGCATATTTATCACTTTCCTTTTAACTTTGCTTCATTTGGGTGGAACTGAAATAAGCGAACCACTTTTAGTGAAAAAGTAATTTTGTAATTTATTCGTGCATTTGTTTCAGTCAATACGGACCCTGTCGGGCACAGCAAAATACAAAGTTCAAATTTCAGAATTCAATTCAATTAATAACACATTAACATTTTCAACAATTATTAAAATAAATAGGTCTAAGTAATAAATTGTATTCTTTAAAATTATAATAAAATATAGGCGTAAAATGTAACATAATATTTTAGCCCCCATTTCATTTTTTCGTTACGAACTGGCCTTTATAAAAACCTTTCTCTAGAAGTAATTTACACTTAACCTTATAAGGTATGATGATGATGAAGACGATTAATATTAATGTGACTATAAGTACCCTCATGGAAGTATAGACAAAGATGTCATATTATAGGTTCCGTTGAACGTTGCGTTAAAACCGATCAAATGTCAGAAAGGTGCAAAGCAGTTGTTCATTAATGAACTTTTACTTGCAAGCATTATTAAGGCTAATCATATTGAAACACCTATTACACTAGATAAAAGACAAAGTAAAAACGCGACGCCTAGTTACAGTTAAACGTTACATTTATACAACGAAATTCCTCTCTAAAATGTAACCGTTATTAAAATAAGAAAGAAGGCAGCAAAAAACGACCACCCACATCGTAAGACATCACAAGCCTAATTTGAACCAATCATACATTCCTAAAAAACCGACACCAATTTTACAAACGGTTAATAAGGTTCAAATTCATTTAACACTCAAATCGATAAGTAAAGGTGAAACCAACAATAATGTCATACATACTTATTGCTTGTCAACAGACATGATTCACCCGTCTCGCGGAATGCGGCAGCGGAATATGGATCATAAACAAACGCACGTGCGGCAGTATCTATAGGCGGTAGCTCAATAAATTGATAACGAGTACTTGGCTCGGTTTCAACGCTTTTATTTGATATATCGTACACATTAATAATTTGGTAATTGATTGGCACATTAACTGAAGCTGTTACACTGGCTCAGTAATAATTTGGAAATATGGCAGCATATACATCTTGTTGAATCATTTCGTAATCTACTGCAGTTTTTGTTAAAGATATATTGGGACAAATTGGACCTAAGATAGGCAAAAGAATAATAAACATTGAAGACACCAAATTGCTTAATGTAGACGCACCTGCTCCAAATGCATTCACAATGTTTTCTCTGCAAGGTAACCGAGACTTTAAAGACAATGCGAAGGTGGTAGACAAACCCGAATATGGTGATGTAGTGATTATTAATCATACCATATAAGATTAATTTAATCGAAAATGCAAACTTGGTACCCGAATTACCTGCTCAATAACCTATAAGTTTACTAATTACACTGTACCTATCGAAGGAGACCTTGCAGTTTAGGCGTAGGAAGTTGGTGCTATCCATGTAGGCGATTTGCAAACTAAGGTTATTATTCAATAGGATGTGCGCAACTCGTCTGTTACAGTG